AAGTGGCGTATTTGAAGGTAAATATATAGGTGTTGAGAAGGTAGAAGAGCTTTTTTCTGGAGATCTGGGAATGAGTGTAACTTACGAGTCACCGGGTGTACTAAGTGACGCAATTGAAAAAGGTTAGCTACTACCCAAAGAGAATCCGCCTCATGAAGATCACGGAGCACAACTTGAGTATTGTCCCTAGTTACGATCAGCCTGAAGGGGAACCCCCACCGATAAAGGACACGGTGTTGCTGAAGGTGTGAGGTGATCGGCTTCAGAGCTCGCCGCTTGGCCAGGGTAATCGGGGACAGATCGCAGAAGAGTTGGAGTCTGTCACCTTTAAATTCCAGAGATGGCTTGTGGCGAACTGCTGATAATAAGGCTTCCTTGCTTTGAAAAAAATGGAAGCGAACAATGACGTCGCGAGGTCTGGTGCCTTCAACAGGTTTTGGGCCCAAGGAGCGATGAGCCCTGTCTATACGCCAATCAGCTTCTGGAACCAAGGGAGCAGTTGCGGTGAAAAAGGAGAATAGGTGACGGTGTAGTTGTGCATCATCAATAGATTCGGACATACCGCGTATACGGATATTTTGGCGCCGTTCCCTGTTTTCCAAATCCTCTTGTTGGAGGTGCATTTGGGACATGGAATGTTTCAAATACGCGTTGTCCTCTTCCAGAACATGAACGTATTGCACCAAATCATCAAACTCATTTTCCAATTTATCCGTGCGGTCACCAATCTGAGCTATTTCCCCTCTGAGATCCAACGCCAGTTTTCCAATTTCAGTGGAAATGGATGCGGTGATATTGCGTAAGAATATTTGCAATTTATCATCTAGCGCTGAAATTGTGAGAGATGATGATGTGACGGCCTGCTGGGAAATCTGGGTGGAGGGGTGTTGATTCCCTGAGGCAGGGTGAACTATTGCCCCCCCAGTTATAATCTGGGGATCATGATCCTCCATCTGAGGCTGGATCAGGGCAGAGGCAGGCAGAGGAGCTGTGATGCTGGAAGATGCAGTACCCTCCGTGAACACCGGGGGTCCGGGATCGCTCCCTGGGTTCCTGGACATGCCAGAGGCCGGGGATTGCGGCCTAGATAAGAACTGCCGGAGCGGTGACGGCCGCGGATCCTGTGGCTGCGGGGAAGGGGGCTTCCAGCGCCCTATCTTCCCCATAGAAGACTCGTTCTGGTGCCGTGCCGGGTGCAGAGGGTGTATGACTCACCCGGAGCTGAAAGAAGGCAGTGGCGCGTGGCGGGTGAGTCCGTGCTGGCCGGGGATGAGCGGAGCTTAGGGACTACACAGCCGCCATCGTCCCTGGTCGCGCATGCGCCCCTCATCTATGCCTTTTGTTTGCTGTGGCAGGTTGGTTAGGGGTGGAGACATTCAAGTAACCTGCTATGGGGTTGAATTTGCCTGGGACAAGGCCAACAATCACTCTGCCATATCAAGAAATGAGTTATAGCCTGGGCAAAAATGCTGAGTCCTTGGCTAACTAGTTGTCCCATATCTGCCGAGTAGCTGCTGTCAGCATTGACAGCAGTTGCTTAACAGACCTCTTCTCTAGAAGTGTCCAGAGAAGAAAACGTGAGGATGGGTGAGACACAGTTTTCCTTTATACCAAGATCCTGATAAAAGAGGAAAGATGGAGAAAAGGAGGTATATTTGGCCTATCCTCCTCTTAGTATGGTCCCAAGCTTCCAGGTTAAAGTCTAAGTTTACGTTTTACAGGGAAAAAAAAGCACATCACAAAGGTGAACTTATTCTTTATATAGGAGTTGTCAGTGGTGGCTCCCATTTTTCCCACCTTAGCTTGTTACCCTTACAGACTTTAACTTAAAATGCTTCTCTTTGCAACTATATCTTATCACAGCTTTGCCTATGGCAAATTTTAGTTAAAATGTCTACTTTAACTGCTGCAATAATTAAATAAATTATTTACTTCTTAATCGCAATTAGTAAATACACTCAATTACAGGCTATGAGGCTGGTTTATTAACGGTGTTGAGAATGTCTGCAAAATAAATCGAGTGAAGATTAACTTCAATTATCGAGCATGAAAAACAAATTCCTGTTTGTTTTATCTGCACATGATTGGGTTTTCACATCTATGATTTAGATGATTCAACTCCTTTGAAGCAACCTTTATATCTAGCTTATCTACACAGCACAAAATACTATTTTTATCGAATGCATAATTGGAATTCATGGAGATTTTTTACATCTACTTGCACCTACACCTTAAAGAACATATCTTTCAAGTCTTTGTAAGCTAGCGTCCCTCTATTTCCATCATATTTTTTACTGACTAATTTACTAGAAGTAGCTTCTTCCAGTACTTTATCCAATCTTGGGGTCAAACTTCATACCAACATTTTTTAGTTGCTGTTCTAGTACAAGTTATATTCCATATAAAATATCGTTTCTGCAGTGTACAGTTAGATTTACTTCAAAATGAATTTTGCCCTCAATACCTGACACTAAAGGTATTTAAATTTCAGATCAAAAAGAAAGGATATTGCCATGTATTCTGTTCATGGAGAGCTGTGCAGCTTGAAGGTAAATGTATTTGAATGTATTACATATTCCATAGTTGAGTAATGCTAGGACAATTGGTATTTAGAGTAAGATAAAAACAATAATAAAACAAACAGTTTTTGCAGATAATATACTAAGTATAATAAGACAAACAGAACAAGCAGTGTTTCTGCAAAGACTTCAGGCGCACTGGGGCTCTTCTAAACACTTTTCTCCTAGAGTAGAGTAGCTTCAAAAACGTACCTAAGCCACATATTTTCAAATATGTTTAGGCACTTTAAGCGCGTGGGCATTTATTAATATCACTGGGCAGAATGTTAATTTATGTTGCCCATTGAAATGAAAAAACTCTCAAGAGCTAGTGTTAATGTGTATTTAGAAGCAACCTCAGGGCTGAACTCGGGCTGGCTCAGGAGGAAAAATTCAGTGGAGAGGCATGAATAGGATCCAGGCCTGGAGAAGCAGGGAGCAAAGAGGACAGTGTGAGTACAGCAGCACACTCTGGGATCTACAAGGGGGGAAAGACTGCCACACGTAGCAAGCTTTCTATGAACAGCACTAGGCTTAATCCTTAAACATTGTCCTGGGAGATCTTCCAAGAAGCCAAGAGGGCTAGTAGTGCTTTCAGGTTGTGGAGCTGGGAGCAGCTCTATAGGGGCAGAGAAGACATCTCTGCATGTAGCTACAGGAAGTAAAGTGATCTTTGAGGATCTGCCTTTGTATATAGGAGGGAAGTGTCCCCCTTCCATTGATTCAAGTGAAACTGTGCATCCCATAATCCCTATTTCCCTATCCAAGTTAATTTCCCCTACCTGTTACCTGGCTGTGTGGATAGAGGCTTATCCCCACAACACAGTGACCCTCACGCTAAACTCACATCAGGCTTTTTTTTTCTGCCAAAACACTCCTCTCTTGAATGCACAAGTGATGTTTCTTCGTTATGCCTCTAAACTCTCCTGCCTCTAAATTAATGTAAATGCCTATGTGTGCATGGTGCCATGGACACTTTGGGGTTTAATTACTAAAGGCAAACATATTGTGCACTGCAAGTGCAGTTGCTCCAGAGCTTAGTAAATAAGGTAAAGCTTCACTTTGCAAAGAATACCCAATCACATGCAAGAAAACAAAAACACATTTTTGCTTGAACATTATTGTATGATAGAAATCAGCAGATCTTCCTCTCATTTCAGAGCTTCCCCTCAGATCTAGAGCAACTATTTGCCTTTAGTAAATTGACCCCATAAGCTAGCTAACACAGAGGAGAACATAGAGTTGAAAAAAAAAATCTCAAACACTTGTAAAAGCAATGTTTTTCAGCTCATGTGTACCACTACCCCAAATAAATGAATGGCAATGCTATTTTATTACAAACTCCATTCCTTGTATCCTATGGTAATTTTTGTAAAAACTGCTACCTTAAAGCACTGTTGGTAGCATCATACTGTCAGCTTTATATGCAAAGATACTTGGAAGATTCACAGAGCACCACATGTGAGGAAGGATGGAACTTTTATATTCGGTGGACTACACAGAGCCTTCTGACTCTTATTACTTTATTTTCTTCTGAGCTGGCTAGAAAAAAGGAAGCAAAAAAGTGATGTAATTATGACAGATTACAGCAGGAATAAAAACCTAGCTAAGGGTGTAATTTGCTTCTAAAACAGATGCAGCTCACTAATGAGGTCATCTCTGTGCTTCCTCCTCCAATCAGCATTCTTCTTTTTTAGATTCATAGCACTGTGAAATGTAAAACAGCCTGATTGGCTTACTCTCACAGTGTGAACATAGAGTGGATTGCAGAAGATTAGTACAGATACAGATTCAAGTAATATTTAACCACTTCAAGTCCGGACACTTTCACCCCCTTCCTGTCCAGGCCAATTTTCAGCTTTCAGTGCTATCACACTTTGAATGACAATTGCGCAGTCATGCAACACTGTACCCATATGAAATTTTTTTAGCATTTTTTTGAGACAGATAAAACTTTATTTTGCTGGTATTTATTCACCACTGGGATTTAATTTTTTTTGCTATATAAATGAAAAAGTCCAAACATTTTGAAAAAATTGTGTTTTTCTTATAACAATTTGCAAATAAATAATCTTTCTTCATAAATCTTGGCCAAAATGTATTCAGCTATCTTTTTAATAAAAAAAATAACTCAAAATAGTTTATAACCAAAAATGATCATTTTTCAAACATTTTCATTTTATTTTTTCACATTAGTATTATTATTATTATTTTTTTAACATACCATCACCCTAGCAGTACAGTGTCACCATATGACACTGTACTACTTGTGGGGGGTGATGAAGATTTTTTTTTTTCTACACTGATTGCTTTTACATATATAAAGGCTGTAAAAGCAATCATTTCTCCTTCGCTCTGGTTGCATTCTTGGAGCCATTGAGAAATACTGTGCAAGCTATGATTGGTCACAGCATGTCACATGGTACAAGGCTGTTGTGAATAGCCTTGTACCATGTGACCTCTGTGATCATTCACACAGATTTCACACGTAGTAAGCAATGATTGGCCAATCATTGATCACATGATTGGGACCTCACACAGAGGTCGTGTACAGTGATCGGTACAGTGGGCACCGGTTAGCGGTGCCACGCGCTCCTTTGGAGCATGCACAGGCTGGGAGGCGGGAGAGTGTTTATAAATGGCCACCCGCCCCTGCACTGCTCTCAGCTGTTTATATACCTGGGCCAGACGGGAAGTGGTTAATATGTGTAACTTTTTTTATTGAATGCAAAATCACACTTTGACTTTAAACGAATATACCATTCTGGAGTGTTGATGAGTTTTTTTGTGAATGAATTTTAGTTTGGCAAATTTAACCATCACTCCCTGCTACGCTTGACCCACTGAGCTTTAAAAAAATTATTGCAATGCTGTTTTTTACTCACCTGAGTTCACTGTCCAAGCCTCTCATTGGTACCTCTTCTACTTACGCAGATTGATAACCCAGTACTGTAGTCTGTGCACACATGAGCTGGTCCCCTCAAGTCATGACACCACTGGATCCCGAGAGGGCTCTGCCACTGGACAGCCAATAAGAAGATTCCATGTCATCCTGGCAATGTGACTGTCTTTTTGAAATACAGGATGGAACTGTGAATAAATACTGAACAGCAGCAACCAAGTTGCTAAGCATTAAACACTTTTGAGTCTGTCATGGACAACACTGGCACTGACTTTTTTTTAGTCACTTTTATTTTTTATGGTCCAATATTCATATTAATTATTAGAGATAATGTAAAAACCCAACAGTGTTGTGCTTTTATTGCTTTATTTAGGACATGAGATAAATCGACAGAAATATAAACCTGACAAATGTTCTTGTCCACTCCATCCAAACCACATAAAATTTTTGGCTGCAGCTGATATTAAAGCACTAATACAAATATGAAAAAACATATAAATAATAGCACAGTGTGTTTTTTTGCTCTGCTTTACGATTTAAATTTTATAGGAAATGTGGACTTGAGACAGACATGTAATTCAACTGCAATAAACAGTAATCCACTGAGAATGTCTCGATAGATGTATAGCCTTTTCATTTTAAACACAACCACAGATATGATTTAATAAAATGACTGCTTAAAGCTTTTAAACTTCACCAAGGACCAAGAGTAGCATATCCTTATTCTTGGCATTGACAAGTTAATTTATAAACCTCATGAATTGTCACAATCTGAAGCTGATGATACCATTCAGCTAAAAGCCTAGCATCTCAATCCAATATTGTTCAAAATCTAAGTTCTATTTTCTATATGAAAAGCAAATTACATGCTGAGTACATGCTGTTCATATCCTTTTTATCCAAAAGTGATGCTGAATTAAACAGTAACACATCAAAGCCAAAGTGACAACTACCTAGAGATCTAAATGTTGCTCTTCTTAAATACCTTTGATTATTATGCATTATTTTCCAAGCCAGTGGGAAATATGAATTAAAAATAATTTGTTTGTTGCCTATAAAGATTAAACTCTTGAACTTTTGAAACCACAGTGGCCCGATTCTATTTGTTAAGTGTAAGCAAGGGCAGACTCTGATGTATGCTGATTTTTCATGGAAATAACGCTTCTTTCGCATTTATTAATATAAACATTGTAATCTAAGAACTTGAATTATGGCTATCACCATAAAATAAAAACCTGTAACCCTTGGGACCCATTTAGACCAATTTGGTCTGTCACAGTGTGCATTAGGATGCATGTTGCAAGATAATGTGCATTGCTTTGTGGAAGCCCATTCATTTAAATGGGCTGCCAATGCAACACTGTACACTTAAAATCAAACCCTTTCTTTTTTCTCTATTGCAGCAGAACCCAACTCAAACTTAATGTACTTCAATGCACCCTGGTACATGTCTTGCTATATTTTGCAGTAATGCACCTTGAAATGCCTATTTTACTAAGCATTACTGCAGTGCATATGTTTGAATATGTCCTTTATATTTTCATACATATTTTCCAAATAAGCAGTGACAGACACTGCTTGTTTAATTTGCATCCTTTGTTTTGTCTCTCGTCATCCTAGAGGAATATGCCCCTTGTAGATAGTCATCCTGGGACAGGGGTTAAAGAGGAGATTATTTTGGGGACATATACTTCCCTTACAGAACTGCCTGTTAGTTCCCTTTCACACTGATGCGGTATGACCATTCCATGGATGCAGTGCAGTGTACCCAAGTTTGGTGCAGGTTAGCTGTGCTTTACCATTGACCTCTATTATGTCTTGCAATTTTGGTGTGCATTCTGAAAGCGCACCAAGACTCCTGCATGCAGATACCCTGGGCTGCCGCTGCACCACGTCAGTGTGAAAGGGACCTTAAACAGGTGATCTCAGAGACACTGGGCTTAGGTGTGTTCTGCTTAGATTTCAGTGAAAAGCTGACGCACTGGGCTTCCTGAAATACTTGAATGTGATGGACTCTCTCATCTGCCTGGTGTGCCTGTGTACTGAACTTTTTGTTCAGTGCTGAAGAAAAGCACCAATCTTTGCCATGCTTAAAGACTATGTTATGTGATAAAAAAAAAAAAAAAAAGATTATCTCCTCTTTGTGCTGTTACTGAAGTAAAATCAAATTATTTTCTTTTGTTTGATGACAAAGCAAATTTAGGTTTATAGAACTGTTCTACAAAGATCTGCTTTTTCCTGATCCCTGACAATTGTTGGAGGATGCAGGCAGTTTGAGGGGCACAGGCCAGTCCTACAGTATATCATAAGCTAAATCTGAACAGGATTTAAAAAAAACACAGAAAAAGCAATAGAAGAACTGTTGAAGCAGTTGGCATGAACCAAAATGCGAGCACAGGCCCAACATGAGCAGGCAATGGCTGCAAAACAGCAGTCTCTGGCACAAGCACAGGCACAGGCTGGCCATAAACAGATGACAGCTGCACAACAGCAATGCCCTGGCTTAGGCTGTAACAGGCTAACAAGAGACTAACTATGCAGAATGAACAAATAGTGGACTTATAGAATGCCGTAACCCAGCAAGCTGGGAAGCTCCAAGATGGCTCTGCTATGCCAGCTATCCAATGCAAGGCCATGCAGCATGTTCCTCAAAAAATAACATCACAGACTATGTTATAGCGTAGCTGGTGCTGCTCGAGCAAATTGCCACTAGAGAAAGATTGCCTGGGACACACTGCCTGGATGTGCCTTCTTGCTAAGCTGACAGATCTACACTATGTATATGAATGCTGTGAATAGAAACTTGCATGTATCTCTCTGCACATTGTGAGTGTTACTCTGTTACATTCTTTTATTAAAAAGTCACTGGCAGTACTGCACTATTGGATCTTCTTTGCATACATCTTTGAGGTTTTTTTATGCAAGAGCTGTGGAATATGGAGATTTGATTTGAGTGCTGCTGACCTGTTGTCTTTTGACCACCTTGATTATTTTAGGGGGTTAATTGCATCAGGTAAGGAGACTCCCGATCAGAGGCAGACTGACCATGTGGAAACTCGGGCACTGCCTCAGGGCCTGGGGTCAGTAGGGGGCCCCATGAGATGCCCCTGCTACCTTTTTCATAGGCTTTTTTGACTTTGGGCAAGGACACAGGGACCCCATGATCCCCAATTGCCCGGGGGCCCCATGAGTTGTCAGTCCGTCCCTGCTCCCGATTGGGCATGTGGGTGCTATACTTTGGTGGCACTCCATGGTAGAAGATTTCTGATACTGTGAGATAGACACTAGGGGTGGCCAAGTCTCCCCTTCTTGCAAGATACCTTATCATTATGTTGAGGGGACAAGGACCTCATCCCCATAAAGATTTGGGGGTTTTGTGGGACTTATCATGGTATGAAAACTCCTTGTATAATAAGGGGCCCTCAGATACCCCGCAGGAATAAGTATGAGGCATAGTATATTACCATTTATTACTAATTCTCATAAAAGATAAAAGTAAATAGAAACACCATCACAAAGTCCTTTATTTGACAAAATAAACAAGGTGCCCTGATGTAAATCAAACATCAAGTGTTATGTTGTTCAGCTATGTATGTCCTTCAATCATGATCTCCCACCACCTGACGATGTTGATTTACCAACATGACAAACCGTCTGACCTAAGAGATCCATTACTGGTTACTGTATGTAAACAATTTAGCCAGGGATCCTGTGTGACATCATTGACCAAATATGGCCATGACCAAAGATGTCACCCAGAATCCTTGAATGGTTTACTTGCAAACACCAGCCACTAAGGATTTGTCATTTTATAGTGGTAGTGCTACTGCCACAGAATGACAGATCCTCAGCTGATTTTTTTTACAAACATAATCAGGGAGTAACTATTCCTTCACTATCCAAACACAGTTTTGATAAAATTGTATTGCTTTAATTGTAATAGAAAGAGGTAACGTATCACAAATTAGCTATGGTGTCTAGAGTAGAAAACTAGTTGAACAGGATTACAGAATGTTTTGGGCATTTAATGTGACATACACATACAGTATGTATTTCAACAGTGTATTTAGTTGTTTGGTTAAACTTTTTAAAATAGAGATTTGTGGATTAGCTGAGAGAGGGTGTAAACATCCAATTTACAATTCCTCTCCCCCCATTCTTAAATTGGGCCTTCACCAATGAAATAAACTTTCTTTCCTCTGCTTCTCCCCTACAACGTGAAGAGTGTGAGCATAGGCATATTTTCCACATTGGATGATGTTCTAACTTGTATCATTTATCTCTGAAGCACTGTATGGTGAGTGGACCTATAGTTTGTTGCTCTTACAGGAATACTTCATTTTTATGTAACAATATACTGTACATACAGTATATACTGTATATACTGTGCATGTGTGTATATATATATATATATATATATATATATATATATAGTTATTGGATGGATAATGCACATTTATGTGCTTGCGCTGTATGAAAGTTATTTATGCATTCACTGCGTAATTTTCTGGATAATTTGGGGTTTAATATTGTCTTGTGTTAATTTATTTTGTGGCATTCATCAGTGGCATTGCTATGGGGGTGCTGGAGGTGCAGACTGCACTCAAGTGACACAGGAGGAGAAGGGAGGAGAGACACTGTGCATGTCCTGCTCTAATCTGAGGTAAGTATTAACTTTATTATATTGTTCCTGGACAGAGGAGGGGACAGAGTGAATGGGAAGGGGGGTAAGTTAAAAAGGTGGTGGAGTTATTGTGGAAGGAGTTAAGAGGATATGTGCTGGGGGCAGTTTGGGAGGGGAGAGGACCTA